AACTTTTTCATAGGCTTTTTTGAGTTTGGGCAAGGACACAGGGGCCCAATGATCCCCTATTGCCCGGGGCCCCATGAGTTGTCAGTCCGCCCCCTGGAGTAAGGATATGACTCTCTCTAGTATGACAGTGCTGGTGCCTTATGCTGGGCCCAGCACTGTCACATGGTGCCAGGAAAGACGTCCATAGCCCTGTGTGAGTTCCAACAAGTCTGTTGACATGTGGGTTAGTGCCTTATGGCTGTAGGTCATCCTAACCTACCAAGGCCCCATGTCATTCTTACTTTTTCCACCGGCTGACCACTGTGTCACAGCACTGATATGGAGACATTTCAGGAGAGACTGCAGAACACCAAACCTCCTACCAGCTCTTTCTGACAAACAGGTCCTTGTACACTTTGGCAAGGGTAAGAGCCACTCCAGTACACTTAAAAAGGCTTTGCTACTTAATGGTTACAGGCCAGGTTCCTGGGACTAGACTTGCACCAGGGTTAAGGACCGTATAAGAGGGATGCCTCTTGGACCACATGCACCACCCCACCATCAGGACCCTCCCTCAACTGGCCACCACCATCCCCACACTGAACTGGCTGCTCCTCCTTCCTTCTCTCATCATCTCCACATTACTGGCTAAATAGGGATGGGTCCACACAGTTCACACATAGCTTCTCAGGAGACACAAAACCAGGCAAATTGTGCTTTTTCAGAACTGGTTTTTGAAAGTAGTGATAATTCCAAAAACTGATGAAAACTTTTCCAAAATAATGGCAAGTACAATGCCTAATAATCCTGGATGTTTGCAGTGTAAACACCAGGGGGTACTTCTTCCTTTATATTTCTGTGATGTGAAACACTACATCACAAGTCTCTCATTTAGTTCAAGTATCCCAATTATGGGGTGCCCACAGAGGGGGAGAAAAAACAAAAATAAAAGTCTTTCGTCCTCTGCATCCTTTTTCCAGAACCTTCTTAGAATCCTCAGCTTACTGTTATAACGCCTTCCCTTGTGTTTACGGGCTCAGGACAAAGAAGATGAGAGAACCACTTGTCTTGTGCTGTAGACTGTACCTGAGGTAATTGAGTCCACAGCAGGCTCCATAGACCAGCAACTGTGGGAAAGCACTGTTTTCCAGTGGAACGAAGGATAAGCTTTCTCCTCACCCCTAGACAACACAAGCAGTTGACCCATGCAGTGCAGGCACAGCCCGACTGCATGGGAAGACTTTTTTTTTGCCTGGAGTTTGGCTTTAACCATTTACCCCTCCTTACAAGTCTTTTCCCTGTCATCCGTCCCTGGAGATTGACCACACTGGTAAATTATCACCCACTTCCATTACAGAACATGAAGGCACAATTGCACAATGCAGTCTCACACAGATTAGCAGTGAATTTACAACCGAGTTTACAGGCACTGGTAATTTACAGGTAGCATAGTAGTCTCTCTGGAAGTTGTGAATTCTTCGCTTAGTACACAATAAGGTAAACTTATTCTGTATTTAATATTCCAAAAACACAGAACAGTGCATGGACATATGTACAGAAATAAAAAAAATTACAAAAAACAAGAAAGAAAATGACAGAGAGATTAGGAATTTCTATAAAATAAAAATGGAAGAAAAACAGACACAAACTTTAAAATTTGAGCAATATTTATCCTGTTGATGGGAGCACATCAGGGAAAGCCAGGACCCTCCTTGTCCAGAACAAGCTTCAAACTATGTCAGGACTTGGGTCTGAACTTGCGACCTCTGCTTTGTCTGGCAATGTCTCTTTTTGCTGAGACCCCTGAGATGCCGAACAGCTCCCTGCCTGATCTCCTAAAAATATCATTGCTTTGTGTCTTGTTTGTCTTGAATCTTAAACCACTTGCTTCTTCACCCCTTGCTTCTTCCATGAACTTCCTATTACAGCCATTCCTTTTTCACTTCCTGTTTGCCAGATTATTGTGCTCTCTCCAGCCAATATCTCGCTCTTGTTTCTCCTGCTGCCATCAGTATCTTTGCTATCACTTGTTACTGTCCTAGACTACGCTTCTGCTTGATCCCACCTGTAACCACTCGTTACAGACTACACTTCTGCTTGATCCCTACCTGCTATATCTGCTACTGGACCTTGGCTTACTCACGTCCTAGTTGGGCCATCCTGTGAACAACGATGTGGTACTAATGCAGAAAAACCCATCTCCACTATCAGGAACTCTGGTTAATACCCGTTAGTGGTTAGACCCTGCGACTCGAGTGAGCCTGCGTCATCCACCAGGGTGACCTGCCTGTGTATCCTTTCTGCTGGCTTCTCTACTGCTATTGGTCTCGAGCCTGGAATGCTTAGTTGCATGACACAATTTTATAGGGGTAGTGGTGTGGGACAGACTCTTCCCCCTTGACCAGACACCTTTGAGGGTGGTACTCTGCCAGGTGTTGGGAACTTTCTTTCCTCTAAAGTAGTCATAGGAGAGATTTACTAAAACTGGTACACACAGAATCTGGTACAGCTGTGCACAGTAACCAATCAGCTTCTAGGTTTTATTGTCAAAGCCCAATTGAACAAGTTGAAGGTAGAAGCTGACTGGTTTCTATGCACAGCTGCATCAGATTCTGCATGCTTCATTTTTAGTCAATCTCCCCCATGAAGCATATGGACCAGCTGATGACTGGGTCGACGCTGGAATTCCTGACACCAGTGCATCATTCTGACTGTAGCAAGTCCAAATACAACATGCCTGCAGGGCCCAAATAACCACTTTGTAGGTTCTTAGATGGTTTTATCAGGCCAGGACATGCAATTTTGCATCTACATGTAGCTTATAGTGTGTACTTTATTATTAAAGTGTTACTAAACCCAGGACCCTGTATTCACTCTATCTGGTCTCAGTACACAGAACATGCAAATGCTATTTAAATATATAAATATGCAGCGCTAATAAATAAAATAATAAAAATTGCACTATATCATATTAAAACAACTGAATCCATTATTAGTGGTACAATGAAGTGTTGTGTGCAAGCATTAATAAATCCGTAATAAAGGAAATCTGTGACTCTTGTGCTCGTGAAGATGGACAAACATTGCACTAACCAGATAGCGCAATTAATGCGCGTGGAGCAAATAAGACCTGCTCCTGGTACTCTGGACGTGTAATACCATGGGGATAGGTGTCATTAGCGTGTAGGCCACTAGGTGTCATCCATCTAGGTATACCTTCTAGTCTCCAAATATGCCAGTCACAGCCACCAGGAGGAGGATCACACACCAATCCAGGCCACAGAAAACCTGCAAAAACGGGCTCCCAAGGGAATGATGAGCCCAGAGAAAGCCTCCAATAGTGCAGTAGGTCTTTATTTCACAAAAATTCCAGCATAAACAGATTAAAAGAACGAACTTACATCCGCATCCAATATGGCCGCCGGCTGTCATTCAGGATGGCCTTGCGGTGTATGCACAGTAGTCAGGGGCACCTCCTAACGCGTTTTGTGTCCTTACACTTCCAGCCGGTGGCCATATTGGATATTGGATTCGGATGTAAGTTTGTTCTTTTAATGCTGGAATTTTTGTGAAATAAAGACCTGCTGCACTATTGGAGGCTTTCTCTGGGCTCATCATTCCCTTGAGAGCCTGTTTTTGAAGGTTTTCTGTGGCCTGGATTGGTGTGTGATCCTCCTCCTGGTGGCTGTGACTGGCATATTTGGAGACTAGAGGGTATACCTAGATGGATGACATCTAGTGGCCTACACACTGATGACACCTATCCCCATGGTATTACACGTCCAGAGTACCAGGAGCAGGTCTTATTTGCTCCACGCGCATTAATTGCGCTATCTGGTTAGTGCAATATTTGTCCATCTTCACGAGCACAAGAGTCACAGATTTCCTTTATTACGGATTTATTAATGCTTGCACACAACACTTCATTGTACCACTAATAATGGACTCAGTTGTTTTAATATGATATAGTGCAATTTTTATTATTTTTATTTATTAGCGCTGCATATTTATATATTTATGTTTCTTTTATTGGGTTTTTGAGGTTGCCTTTTATGCTAGCAGCTTATATATTATTTTTCCCAGCGCTCGATTACCATTTTTATAATGCAAATGCTATTCTTTTAGTAAATATAAACTGCTAAATACCTTTTTCTCTTCAGCAGTCTTGTGACTTCTATCAGTTTCCAGCAGAGCACTCGTTAAAGCTTGTAGAAGGAGTTTTCATTTTGCTATAGGAAAATGCAGAACTCCTGACCTCTGTCTAGACCAGGGGTGGGCAACTGTGGCCCTCCAACTGTTGTAGAACTACAAGTCCCATGAGGCATTGCAAAATTGACAGTTACAAGCATGACTCCCAAAGGCAAAGGCATGATGGGACTTGTAGTTCACTAACAGCTGGAAGGCCACAGTTGGCCACCCCTGGTCTAGACAATGATGATTGGGCCTGTGCTGATCTCATGCACTCTCCCAAGAGAAAAAAATAAACCTCTCTAGCAATACACACAAAACTGAGCATGTGCAGAGTGTCTCCACCCATATTCATAATCAGGATCTTGTCAGGGAGGACGAGGGGGTTTCCTGTTGCTCTCATGCAAATCTGACAATACATTTGTCCATAATCCTAGAACTACGTGGATGAATTCTAAACATATCCTACTTTTCCATATCTAATAGAGAACAAGAACAGGTGAGTATTTGCTTTTGGGGAGGGGGGAATTAAGTGACCCTTTTATTTTGCTCTGCATGGGCAAAGGAGAGATTCACTTTTAACAGCATTCACAAAGACAAGATAGGTTATAAATAATAATTACAGTATATTATTTTGCTGTTCTGCCTTACAACATCATATTTGCATGAAAAAGTTAAATGTTACAAATTAATATGTACAGTACTTTGGAGTACAGTAATCCATAAGTGCTGAAGACAAGTCAGAATTCTGCAGACATCTGCCTATGGAAACGTTTGTTTTGGTTACTGTGGTGAGTTGGCATTGCTTCACCAATGGACATAATAGAATTCCAGCTGACATAAAATATGGGATATAATGGTTGCATGAAGGAAGCATTGAACTGGTGAAGAAGTGGCATATCATCTGATACCTCATGGAAGGACAGACTACCCTCATCCCAGTCCAAAAATATGCCAAGTTTCTCCTGTAGTCCTGTGGCTACTAAGATTCTCTGACCATCATGCCATGCATAACAGCGACTGCTGCTCCATTCCAGGCACCAAGACTTTGAATTTCTACCAGCCAAGCAGTAGCTCTGGTGACCTTTTCGAGAGATGTTATGATAGGTGACACCTAAGCTTACTCGATTTCCAGACAGGTGGACCTCCCAATAATGTCTTCCATGGCTCATTGGCTCCCTGCCAAGTACTTGGGTATAATGGTCAAAGCGTCCAGGATGGTCTGAGTAAGCCTGAGGCTGCAGCTTGCACAGAACTCTGCGGTTTCCTTGCGTAAGACATAAGTTGTGGTGGGCAGTTTCGGGGTCTAAGGTGACTTCTCGGAGATCTAAGTGTGACAAAGGATAATTGTTAGTTTAATTGACAAAGAAGGGAAAGCAAGGGTAAATTGTACACCTTCGATATTATGATTAAATGTCTTACACTGAAGGAACTCGGCTCGTATCCGTGGAATCAGAGGCTGCAATGAACTTCCCCACAGTTTAGGTGGCGATATGGGGTAGCTGGTCTGTGTAGACCACACTGTAACACAAAATAAAGAGTTTTACTGAAGCAAGGAAAGTAGCGCTAACTAAATAAATATTTAAAGCAGAACTGCAGGCAAAAATAAGATAAAAATCAACAGCCTATTAAAGGTTTAAACAGCAAAACCAACTTATTTTGCAACGTTCATCTCCCAAACCAAAGAAGATCCCTGAAATACTTTTTATGCCACTAAATGTTCTCAGCAAGATGGCCAGCATCATTTAACCCCTGCAGGGGCGAATTGGATCATGCTTTGCTGGGTTTTTTGCCTTCTTCTGGATTAACTGTGAGTGTAGGATTATAACTTTTTTTTTTATGGTTGAACTGGATGGACTGTTGTCTTTTTTCAGCCAGACTAACTATGTAACACTTCCTCTGAGCCCAGAGCATCATTGACTCTCCCCAGCCTGTGATTGGACAGTGAAAGGAGAAGCAGCACCATGATGTCAATCTGCTTTCCCTTCCTATTAGCATGCTTTCACTTGAGCTGATTGGCTCCTTGCACAGCTTTCCCACTTCATACTCCAGCCCTACTGTACAGAGACTGCAAGAGGCTGTTACCAGGTCAAATTCAAGTATCTGCACTGCTTACATAAAAATTCATTTACTGAGTTTTTCATGATTACAGAGCGAAATTAACTTGTATCTTTTATATCTGCCCAACGTTGATGCTTGCACCCCTCTATCAATTTAAGTAAATAAAAATACCTTTCCATTATCTTCTGTATTATTATTTTAGTTAAAGGGAAGCTATAAATGTTTACGTTTTAGTCCAGTTATTTCTGAAATGTGTTTTGACATAGAGTGTTGTGTTTATTTTGTTAAATGCATTGCAAACAAAAATTCCATTTTATGATATACAGTCACCGCCCACTTTATTAGGTACACCTGTTCAATTGCATGGTAACACAAATTGCTAATCAGTCAATCACATGGCAGAAACAATGCATTTAGGCATCCAAACGTGGTGACGACTTGCTGAAATTCAAACCGAGCATCAGAATTGGGAAGAAAGGGGATTTAAGTGACTTTGAACGTAGCATGTTTGTTGGTGTCAGACGGGCTGGTCTGAGTATTTCAAAAACCGCTGATCTACTGGGATTTTCACTCACAACCATCTCTAAGGTTTACAGAGAATGGTCTGAAAAAAGAAAAAATCCAGAGAGCTGCAGTTGTGTGGGCAAAATGCCTTGTTGATATCAGAGGAGAATACTGCCTTTCCTGATTCTGTATGTTTGTACTGCCTACCTCTGGTCTATAGTCACAAAACTGTGTGCAGCTCCATGACTTACCTTGTTGTACCAGCCTCCCCATGTGGTCTGCACACACCTCCTGTAAACACTCTTTAAAATTAGTAACAGCTGCATAAATTCCATTCCACTGTGTATCCTGTTCTCCAAGCGGCTCTTCCTAAAATGCAAAATCAGAGACTTAAAATGTGTCAGATACTAGGGTAACTCCTCATTACCTTTTACTGGAACAAGCATTATGCTACGTCAATCACTAGACACATCCCACCCTACTTCCTTAGTCACATGTGTCACTCAAACAGGACATCCTTGAACAAAAGTTCTCAGATAATCAAAACAATTTGAAAACATATTGTATGTACATTATTTGCAACGTTTGTGCGGATGCTACAGCAAATCATGAGCCCATAATGTAATGATGTATACAGCAGTACCTGCAAGGAATTGAAACCTATCCTCATCTAAAACTAGCCATACCCCACTAGACTTCTCTTGTTTTGCCCCACGGGCTAAAAAGAGAAGTCACTTGATTCCCCCATCTAGGCTGAACAGCATGGAATCTCATTATTGTATTTGAACTGGATGAACTTGTGTCTTCTTACAACCAGATTAACTATGTAACAGTGTATTCAAACAGCTGGTGTTCTGAATGCCAGAACTATAACAGCATCTGAATTTCTAAAATATTAGTGCAGCACTAAAAAATGCATGTCATAAATTCCATAAACGCATGTGACTTAAACTCATATGTGAGTTTAATTGGCCGCAATTGGAGCTGTGGGTGGCCCTGCCGACACTGCCCAGTTCAACAATCTTGATTACAAAATTGAAGAAGGTGCGTGGAAAATTGTGGGCCAAACAGTGACTGTATCCAATCAGATGCTGTTATTCAAGGATCAAAGTAGGTAGAAAAGATAACAGAGCGAGCGCTAAATGCAGTATATGATATTAAAAATATATATATTCAAATGAATTAAAAGCAGCTAGCACTCAGGGTATAGGTAACAGTCCCAGAATCACAATTTCTAAAATATTAGTGCAGCGCTAAAAAATGCATGTCATAAATTCCAAAAACGCATATGACGTAAACGCATATGTGAGTAAAGAGCTAAAAGTGCAATATTAATATAACTAGTTCAAGATGACATAAAATGCAATAAAATAAGTTCATCAGAGCGTTCCTGAATTTAAAACGTCTCTTGTGCAAAGATATCAGCTGAAGAAATGCCTATGATTGGCACGTGAAGTTATCCGTGAAGAGTAACTGTGCAAAAGCTTGTAAAAGGAAGTCCACCCTTGGTACGGATGTACACTCACCAGACCATACATTGATTATAATACATCGCACATCTGGGAGTGCAGCGGTATGCTGACAGCTACGGGGTCATCTGTCCATCCGTCAGGGTGGGGGCCTGGTGGTCCTGGGGGGAATTAGCTCAGCCACAGGAGCCAGAAAGGTGCTTATAGTGTAGTATTTTATTTAAGGTAATAATAGCAAGTAACATAAAAACGTATCCACGTGGAGTAATACAATAAATAAATAAATGAATAAAGTACCAAAATGGCCACCGCTCATCAGTAGTGGTGGCTAGAGGTAAGCAATAGGGCTCCAACCAACGCGTTTCGTGTAATAACACTTCCTCAGCGGTACACCCATGGGTGTACCCCAGGACCACCAGGCACCCACCCTGACTGATGACCCCGTAGCTGTCAGCATACCGCTGCACCCCCAGATGTGCGATGTAGTATAATCAATGCACATTATAATTTATGGTCTGGTGAGTGTACATCCGTACCAAGGGTTGATTTCCTTTTATAAGCTTTCGCACTGTTACTCTTCACGGATAATTTCACGTGCGAATCATAGGCATTTCTTCAGCTGATATCTTTGCACAAGAGAAGTTTTAAATTCACGAATGCTCTGATGAACTTATTTTTTTTGCATTTTATGTCATCTTGAACTAGTTATATTAATATTGCACTTTTAGCACTTTACTCACATATGCGTTTACGTCACATGTGTTTTTGGAATTTATGACATGCATTTTTTAGCGCTGCACTAATATTTTAGAAATTGTGATTCTGGGACTGTTACCTATACCCTGAGTGCTAGCTGCTTTTATTTCATTTGAATATATATTTTTTTAATATCATATACTGCATTTAGCGCTCGCTCTGTTATCTTTTCTACCTATTTTGATCCTTGAATAACAGCATCTGATTGCATACGGTCACTGTTTGGCCCACAATTTTCCACGCACCTTCTTCAATTTTGTAATCAAGATTGTTGAACTGGGCAGTGTCGGCAGAGCCACCCACAGCTCCAATTGCGGCCAATTAAACAGAAAATTGAAGCTGTGTGTAACTAGCATATTTTAGGAACCCATTCACACCCATTTTAAAAGCCCAGTTCCAGGATGAAAAATTCCTTTACAGTAGCGCTTATTTCACTGCAAGGGCTAAATGCTTAGTCATTCTACGGGGAAGAGGAAGAGGTTGTGCTATTTACCATATTACTCATTTGGGAAGACTGGAAGCTCTCCTGATGTTCTGGGCTGTTGGTGGCCCTCGGCATCATCATGTTCTATGCAGGACTTTTAGACCTACATTGTATGAGAAGGTAAGTATGCAACCGCTGGCCAGAACACCCTAGAGAGGAGACTGTGGGGGACCAGTCACACATGGTAGGAGCCTGTCAGAGTGTGGGAAAAGTTAAGTACAGGTGAAACTCGAAAAATTAGAATATTGTGCAAAAGTTAATTTATTTCAGTAATGCAACTTAAAAAGTGAAACTAATATATGAGATAGACTCATTACATGCAAAGCAAGATAGTTCAAGCCATGATTTGTCATAATTGTGATGATTATGGCTTACAGCGCATGAAAACCCCAAATCCACAATCTCAGAAAATTAGAATATTGTGAAAAGGTGCAATATTCTAGGCTCAAAGTGTCCCACTCTAATCAGCTAATTAAGCCATAACACCTGCAAAGAGTTCCTGAGCCTTTAAATGGTCTCTCAGTCTGGTTTAGTAGGAATCACAATCATGGGAAAGACTGCTGACCTGACAGTTGTGCAGAAAACCATCATTGACACCCTCCATAAGGAGGGAAAGCCTCAAAAGGTAATTGCAAAAGAAGTTGGATGTTCCCAAAGTGCTATATCAAAACACATTAATAGAAAGTTATGTGGAAGAGAAAAGTGTGGAAGAAAAAGGTGCACAAGCAGCAGGGATGACCGCAGCCTGGAGAGGATTGTCAGGAAAAGGCCATTCAAAAGTGTTGGGGACCTTCACAAGGAGTGGACTGAGGCTGGAGTCAGTGCATCAAGAGCCACCACACACAGATGGATCCTGGACATGGGCTTCAAATGTCGTATTCCTCTTGTCAAGCTGCTCCTGAACAACAAAAAACATCAGAAGCGCCTTACCTGGGCTAAAGAAAAACAGACCTGGTCTGTTGCTCAGTGGTCCAAAGTCCTCTTTTCTGATGAGAGCAACATTTGCATCTCATTTGGAAACTAAGGATCCAGAGTATGGAGGAAGAATGGAGAGGCACACACTGCAAGATGCTTGAAGTCCAGTGTGAAGTTTCCACAGTCTGTGTTGATTTGGGGAGCCATGTCATCTGCTGGTGTTGGTCCACTGTGCTTCCTTAAGTCCAGGGTCAACGCAGCCGTCTACCAGGAGATTTTGGAGCACTTCATGCTTCTTTCCGCAGACGAGCTTTATGGGGATGCTGACTTAATTTTCCAGCAGACTTGGCACCTGCCCACACTACCAAAAGCACCAAAACCTGGCTCAATGACCGTAGGATTACTGCACTTGATTGGCCAGCAAACTCGCCTGACCTGAACCCCATAGAGAATCTATGGGGCATTGCCAAGAGAAAGATGAGAGACATGAAGCCGAACAATGCAGAAGAGCTGAAGGCCGCTATTGAAGCATCCTGGTCTTCTGTAACACCTCAGCAGTGCCACAGGCTGATAGCTTCCATGCCACGCCGCATTGAGGCAGTAATTGCTGAAAAAGGGGCCCAAACCAAGTACTGAGTACATATGCATGCTTATACTTTTCAGAGGTCCTATATTGTTCTATGTACAATCCTTGTTTTATTGATTGCATGTAATATTCTAATTTTCTGAGATTGTGGATTTGGGGTTTTCATGAGCTGTAAGCCATAATCATCACAGTTATGACAAATCACGGCTTGAACTATCTTGCTTTGCATGTAATGAGTCTATCTCATATATTAGTTTCAACTTTTAAGTTGCATTACTGAAATAAATGAACTTTTGCACGATATTCTAATTTTTCCAGTTTCACCTGTATTATAACTCATGGAGTTAACTTGTACTTACCCTTTGCAGTGTGTGTGGGGGGGGGTCATTTTCTCTTGTGCCTAGAGATGGGCTTTAATGCATGTTAACATGTGCAGAGGTTAGCTGTTGATTTTAATGGTGCTAGTTCATATCTGTGTGATGCTTAGTTGTGTGCTGGCCAAAATGTTCATGTCCATATCCATTATTTGATCTGTTGTTGTGTGCTATTCGGGCTTTTTCTGGGAATGGAAGGCACATTAATTCACCTGCCCAAAGCAATATAAACACACAGGAAAATGCAGATGTATACATGTGATTCGAGCCTAAAGGTAGCCTGTTCCATTGTGGACCTATTCTTCTGAGAATGCTTTTAGGCAGGTGCAGACCAGCTTCCCATATATAGGTGGAACTGGATCACCACGGCAATACAGAAAGGGCAGGAAGGTGTGAGGAACTTAGTTCCTCTTCAACTTAGTGTTACTAAACCCACAACAGTAAAATCAGTCTATATATGCAGTAAAGCATGCTTGTAATACTCACTGTGGAACCTAAGGGGTTAATCCCCTGCTTTGTGTAAAAAGGCTTTTTGATCCTCTCTTCTCTGTTCCTCCCCTTTTTCAAGTGTCCCCCTCTTATCTCCTGAGAAGACATATTGTGTGGAGTCACTCTGCACATGCTCAGTTTGGTGTGTATTGCTAGAGAAGTTTTTGTTTCGTGGCAGAGTGCATGTGATTAGCACAGGGCCAATCAGCACTGTCCACCAGACCGAGGTCAGGGGATTTCCATCCCCCTAGAGCAGAAAGAAAACTCCTCCTACAAGATGTAACCTGCTCTGCTGAGAGCTGATAGAAGTCACAAGACTGCTCTAACTGCTGATGAGAAAAGGTATTTAGCAATTTGTATTTACTAAAATAATTTCACTTCCATGTTCTGTGTACTGTGGGAGATCAGATATAGTGGATGCGGGGTCCTGGGTTTAGTAGCACTTTGATGCTGTCATCAGGGAAGCAGTTGTCTGATTGGACACTGCTGACCTGGCTGACCTTCATGGCCATCTTTAGTGAGGGCAATACTCATTTAAGGCACTGACTCCCTGGGTTGGCACACATTTTGCAAAGTGGCTAGTGTAAGGACAGGTTCTCTGTGTGTCAGGTAGAGTGCTTAGAACTAGGGAAAGGTTCCGGAGGAGTAGGGTCAGTGCAGGGACTGTTCCTACTCACTGCTAGCAGAAGTTTCCCTCTTTGGGTGTGGAATGGTCAGGCCTCATTCTCGTTCCTCTCTGCAGACGTTGTTGGCATCATCCAAAATTGTCAAGGACCTTTTCAGCAGTTCTCTGTAAGTGGAGCCGAACAGTTGTGTGTGTGCCTAATATGTCCTGTTACCGTTTGCTGGAACTTGATGTTAGTTTGTGATTTCTCCCCACCAGTACACCATGCTGTACCCTGCACACACGCTAGTTGTCTAACAGCTTCTGAGTCACTGATCCAGAACAAGCATCGCACAAGTGACCTGAGAATTCCTGATGTATACATTTCTTCTGGGTTAGTATGGAAGCCATTGGATCAGCCAACAAGTCAAATGAGGTCAGCAATAGCAGCATCTGTGTTTTTGCAATACACATTTACTTTTAAATGTGGGCACAAACATAGGAAAAATATTTGCTATTACTAATGAACATTTCACAAAGAAACATGAAGCAAGCAGGTGTTTGTCAGGCCGAAACTGCTTGGGTTGAATGAGGGGAAGGGTTAGAACTGCTGAGCTTTTACTGGTAGCTATGGAAATTTTACTTCCTGTGCTGCTGATATCAATTTTGTCAGACAGGAAGTCAAGGAAATGACAGGAAGTGAATGAAAATCTGCAAAATAGAAGCAAACAGAAATAAAAATCTGATAAAGGTTATATTTCTCCCTACTCTACCTAACAAAAACATTTATTTCTCTCTTTGTTGCTGTTGGGGAGTTCACCACTGGTATAAGAATGGAAACAGCATGAAGTAAGGGAGAATCTCTGTAATGGAACCCTGGATAGCCGTAAAAACCTAACAGGTGTTTTAAACATTGTCCTCTTTATTTGAATAAAGACATAAAATTTAACTCCTTCACTGCCTGTCAGGTGGAAGCATTCGGGCAGATACGCAGCCGTCCAATCGCTTCCACAGCCCCAGGTACCGCCTTCCCCCCGTGTGCTCCTGCCATGTGTCTGGGCCTTGCTTTCCCATCTGCGCTCTCCTCCCCTTTTTCTGTGACTCAGAAGGTGACAGGTGTGACATCACTTCTGAGTCAGCGCTGTCACTTCCTCAGCTAGAACAGCCGAGAAGCAATGTATTGCAATGCGGTCTAAAATTCACTTTAGTGTGTTTTTTTACTGAAATTTTTGCATTTCGTAGACCTTTGCGTGTGACATAGAAAATTTATAACTATCACTAAATGGTCTCCAAACTGCGGCCCAGGGGCCAGATGTGAACCTTTGCCTGCCTTAATTTGGCTCTTGAGGCACTATTTCACCAAATGATGAGACACCATTCCCCCTACTGACACCCTCAATGGGGCACTATTCCTCCCATTCATACCAACAATATGGGGCACTATTCTTCCCATCCACACCAACAATGGGACACTATTCCTCCCATTAAAACCAATGATGGGGCGTTGATGCTGGGGCATTTTCTATTACCACTGGCAAACGCCCCCTTGAAGCCTAAAGGACAGTAAACTGGCTCTTTGCTTAGAAGAGGAGTGGACCTCAATCTGTAGCCCTCAGAGCCCTCTGATGTGGCTCTTGACCTCAAACCAGGGAAGCGCACTGCAGCCTCCCTGTCACATTCTGTTTTACATTCGGACAGGAGGGGCAATGTTGGCAGCTTATACAGGAACCAATCCTCTCCATTTTCCTCCTTCAACCACTGAAATCTGGCTTCTCCTTCTCTCCTGCCAGCATTCAGCAGCTGTAGGAGGAAAATGTTCATTATGCTAATGGAAATTTTGAACTTTCATTTCATTGTGGCCCGCTACTGTTTACTAAATCACTTAAGTGGTCCTCATTCCTTACCACTGCTCTAGAGCAGGGGTCTCCAAACTGCGGCCTTAGGGCTGGATGCGGTCCTTTGCTTTTAACCTGCCCTTGGGACACTATTTCATCCACTGACACCAAAGAAGGGACACAATTCCCCCCACTGACACAAACAATGGGACACAATTCCATCCAATGACACGAACGATGGGGCACAGTTCCTCCCAATGACACCAAGATTGGTGTCACTGACACTGACACCAAAGGTTTACTCTCACTGATGCCGGGACCTTTTCTACTCCTGATGGCCATGGTCTGGCCATCTTTAGGAAGTCAGAAGGACAGTAAACTGGCCCTTTACTTAGAAAGTTTGGAGACTCCTGCTCTAGAGTGTCTGCTTTCAGAAAATGTATAATGTTTTGGGGGTTTTGTGTAATCTTCAGGCCTAAAATTATTTTTTAAACATGGGTGGAAAAAAAATGCAAAACGGCTCTGGCAGCGAAAGAGATAAAGTAGGCATCATATTGAATGTGCAGTTGTTTTTGGCACCTGTTCCCAAAAACGTATGTTGGAAATTAAGAGTGCAGAGAAGGGCAACTAAACTAAGATGAATGAAGGATCTCAGCTATAAGGAATAAATAAAAAAAACTTAAATTGAATTTGTTCTCTAGTAAAATGGGGAGATTAAAGGGGAATATGATCATTTGTGTAAATACATAACTAGTCCATATAGTAAATGTTTTTACTTAAAAGCAGAAGTAAACTACCAGAAAACAAAATGAGAACCCCAGGAGTTCATTGACAGAATATGCAAGCATTCACAGTATATTTGCACATTATGGCTCCTCTCCATCGCCGTGGCTTACATCTTCACCTGGTCTTCTTCCAGGTTTGGCGTCTGGCTGGGCCAGAATGATGTAACATGATGTATGTAATGAATTGATGAATCATGTAAATGCCATGCATGTGCACAGGAATTACTTGTCCACAGAATTGTGCTAAGACTGTACACTGAGCTGCTCAGGCATGGCTTAGTGTACAATCAGAAAATCTCTATGTAGCACTCTCCTAGTTACTCTAGGTGGATCTAGATCCCTAATGGTTAGACAGGAGCTGAATAGCAGCTCAGGTGCAATAGCCAGAGGGGTCACATTCGGGTCAGGGCTGATAGACTCTGCAGGCCAGTCCCTCTGGAATTCCCCCCTGCTCTGAGGCTTTTGGAGGAGGGATTTGGAGGCAGTGGGTGGATCTGAAGAGTGGTTGGCTTTGAGGGATCTCAGCCAATCCCCAACAGGAGGCTTGGCAAGGCACTGGACTCCCTTTAAAAAAAGGTGTTAGAGTCTGCTCAGTAGCAGGAGTTGGATTGTGGTGGCGGGAGAGGAGCGTGAGTCGGAGATGTGAGGCAGGAGGAAGAAGGCTGCCAGGAGGCCTGCTGGGATGGGCCCTGCCTGCAAGCCTGAAGCTGGAAAGGAGGAAACCTCAGGACTCACTGGTCCCAAGAGAGGACCCCCCTGTGTGGCAAGGAAGGAGCAGCCCAGATGACAGGCCTGGTAGCAGCAGCCATTCCACAAGCTGTACAGGAGAGGATCTGACTGAGTACACCTGCACCACCTGGGTGGATAAGGAAAGGAGCACTCTGGTGGGAAGCTAGATTAGTCCTCTGCTAGTAACTGTGCACCTTATTTAGGGGAACAGGAGCCAGGTCCCCTGCTCAGGAAGAAAGCCTCCAGGTTGCTGGGTGAAGAGGAGTTCATCTAGAGTCTGGGGTGGTACAACTGGAGCTGCTGGCTAGCACTCCACCAGAGACTGTGCCACAGAAAAGAAGCTGTGAATAGTTTAGAAAGTTGTCCTCAGATTTTTGTTCCCTTGGGCATCCAATACATCCATATACCCTATCCAAGTTTAATCCCCTCAATAAAATAACAAAACCAATTTTCAAGGCCTGATTTCTATCTGTGGGTGAAAGATGTGAGAAAAATGCTAACTGACTGGCTGTGCAGGACTATAGGGGGACCCAAATTCATCAGTGACCCCTAAGGGGGTAGTACTACATCAGTCATAAAAAGCCTACCTGTCAGCATCATTCATAAAAAGGAGTTTACTTCTGCTTTAAAGTCACCACAAATGATTAGGTGGCACTAATTGGACCTGAAGGGATAAAGGACAAGAAGACCTGTCTTCACAGGGGCTGGTTGTAGCCAACTCAGTAGATTGCTGGATGTGTTTTTACATGCGCATAACATAAATGGCATTTGGTACCTGGAACAAATTATTTTTTACTCCCCCTCTAGATGTCAAAATTATTTTTTGTAGTAGCCATGAAGTAAAAAGGAATACTATATATAATAATGCCAGCAGAATACTCCTATAATGTAATATTGAAGTGGTGTATATAGTGCACTGTTACAAAACATGTTGATAATAGCAAGGTGGCTAGATAGTGACAGGCTTGCAGTGGATTCAATCATAATAATAGTCCTTTAAGCAGGGGTGACGTGATAATATCTGGGTAAACAAATGACCTGTCCTGACTACATAGGCTATAAATGGCCATCATATATATGAAACTCAGATGCAAGCAATGAGATGCACATAAAGCATTAAGATGAACATGCACTAAGGTACATACAGCATAGTCAGTGACATCTGAAAGGTACATGTTGAGTAGCGAAGGGAAGTTAACTGAAAATTACACTTTCTGGATCATGTAGAGTGATCACCTGTAGTTGATCCTGCAGCTGATCTGGAACAACTTGGGCAGGTTGTGGCACCGATATGTAGAGTCCTTCTAGTTCATGGCTTTCAGCATGCTTCAGTATTTGGCACTCGGCCTGATCCACCATCTTCAGCAGCCGCAGGCCTGAGGCCTGTAGGATTCTTACTATGTCAGCCAGTCCTTGACTCACTATTTTCCTAGCACCTGAAATCTGGAAGAAAATGCCAGCTATGAGTATTTGGCCAATTATAAGCATGCACGGAAAATACATGTATAAGTAACAAACCTACAGTCAGGTCCATAAATATTGGGACATCGACACAATTCTAACATTTTTGGCTCTATACACCACCACAATGGATTTGAAATGAAACGAACAAGATGTGCTTTAACTGAAGACTGTCAGCTTTAATTTGAGGGTATTTACATCCAAATCAGGTAAACGGTGTAGGAATTACAACAGTTTGCATATGTGCCTCCCACTTGTTAAGGGACCAAAAGTAATGGGACAGAATAACAATCATAAATCAAACTTTCACTTTTTAATACTTGGTTGCAAATCCTTTGCAGTCAATTACAGCCTGAAGTGTGGAACGCATAGACATCACCAGACGCTGGTTTCATCCCTGGTGATGCTCTGCCAGGCCTCTACTGCAACTGTCTTCAGTTCCTGCTTGTTCTTGGGGCATTTTCCCTTCAGTTTTGTCTTCAGCAAGTGAAATGCATGCTCAATCGGATTCAGGTCAGGTGATTGACTTGGCCATTGCAGAACATTCCACTTCTTTCCCTTAAAAAAACTCTTTGGTTGCTTTTGCAGTCTGCTTTGGGTCATTGTCCATCTGCACTGTGAAGCGTCCAATGAGTTGTGAAGCATTTGGCTGAATATGAGCAGATAATATTGCCCGAAACACTTCAGAATTCATCCTGCTGCTTTTGTCAGCAGTCACATCATCAGTAAATACAAGAGAACCAGTTCCATTGGCAGCCATACATGCCCACGCCATGACACTACCACCACCATGCTTCACTAATGAGGTGGTATGCTTAGGATCATGAGCAGTTCCTTTCCTTCTCCATACTCTTCTCTTCCCATCACTCTGGTACAAGTTGATCTTGGTCTCATCTGTCCATAGGATGTTGTTCCAGAACTGTGAAGGCTTTTTTACATGTCGTTTGGCAAACTCTAATCTGGCCTTCCTGTTTTTGAGGCTCACCAATGGTTTCCATCTTGTGGTGAACCCTCTGTATTCACTCTGGTGAAGTCTTCTCTTGATTGCTGACTTTGACACACACATACACCTACCTCCTGGAGAGTGTTCTTGATCTGGCCAACTGTTGTGAAGTGTGTTTTCTTCACCAGGGAAAGAATTCTTCGGTCATCCACCACAGTTGTTTTCCGTGGTCTTCCGGGTCTTTTGGTGTTGCTGAGCTCACCAGTGCGTTCCTTCTTTTTAAGAATGTTCCAAACAGTTGTGTTGGCCACGCCTAATGTTTTTGCTATCTCTCTGATGGGTTTGTTTTGTTTTTTCAGCCTAATAATGGCTTGCTTCACTGATAGTGACAGCTCTTTGGATCTCATCTTGAGAGTTGACAGCAACAGATTCCAAATGCAAATGGCACACTTGAAATGAACTCTGGACCTTTTATCTGCTCATTGTAATTGGGATAATGAGGGAATAACACACACCTGCCCATGGAACAGCTGAGAAACCAATTGTCCCATTACTTTTGGTCCCTTAACAAGTGGGAGGCACATATGCAAACTGTTGTAATTCCTACACCGTTCACCTGATTTGGATGTAAATACCCTCAAATTAAGGCTGACAGTCTGCAGTTAAAGCACATCTTGTTCGTTTCATTTCAAATCCGTTGTGGTGGTGTATAGAGCCAAAAATGTTAGAATTGTGTCGATGTCCCAATATTTATGGACCTGACTGTATATGGCTGGGGGAATAACTACAGATTATAGAGCCCGATAGCAACATTTTGATGGGATTCCCCGGCAACCATCCTACTGTGATCAATCTTAATATAAAGTATGTTTAAATCAAGGGCAGGTATCAGGAGAGCTGTCAGCATAGTTGGCACCCTACTTTAGTCCAGAGCTGTGGATTGTAGTTGATCCAAACATTTATAGGGTGTAACATGTAACACGGTGCCAACTGCACCTCTCCCTACCCCAAAACCACACCCTCTGATGGGAAGTGGAGCACCTCCTATTTTCTCTCCTGTTTATCCAGCCTACATGACCATTGTGACTCTATCCTCCAAATGAAGTTCACAGCTATCTGTTACTTTATTAAACTATACAGTTGTGCTCAAAAGTTTGATTACCCTGGCAGAAATGGTTGCATTTTGGCACTGATATTGAAAATAATGCTTATCTTTCTTTTCCTTTTTGGTAGTCTGTTACCACTTTCTAAAGTTCAGTGTATATTTAAGGCATATGCCTGAGGTATCTGTTACTGGGTGCTCTTTCTCTGGGAAATAAACGTTCGATACATAGGGGATAATGTATATTGTCCTTCCTAGGATTTTCTTGTACGTATCTGCTATTGCTGGAATCTATCGGATTCTGTGGTCCCCTGTATTCATTATGTGTTCATTCTCCTCTTTTCTCTTGTGCTAGTCTATTTTGATACTAATGATAGTTATTTGTTTTGTTCTGTCAAAACTTCAATAACAATCTATTCAAAGTAGAAAATATGACTAATCCTGCCAAAAAATGGACTTTTATTTACGGATATTGATCATATGAAGTAATTTATTATCACATAGTTGTTTGGCTCCTTTTTTTAATCATAATAACAAAAATCCCCCAAATGGCCATGATCAAAAGTGTACATACCCTGGAATGTTTGGCATTGGTAGAGACGCACACAGGTTAAAATGGCAATTAAAGGTTAATATCCCACACCTGTGGCTTTTTAAATTGCAATTAGTATTCTGTGTATAAATAGTCAATTAGTTTTTTTCCATACGATTTATACCATTCTGTGTATAAATAGTCAATTAGTTTTTTTTTAGCTCTCACGTGGATGCATTGATCAGGCTAGATACTGAGCCATGAGGAGCAGAAAAAAACTGTCAAAAGAGTTGTGTAACAAGATAATGAACCTTTTATCACGATGAATATAAAGGATTTAAAAAGATAAAGCCTTGAATATGCCAATCAGTACGGTTCAATCACTTATTAAGAAGGGGAAAGTTCGGGGATCTCCTGACACCAACCCAAGGTCAAATAGACCAAGAAAGACTGCAGCCACTACTGCCGGGATTGTACAGGATACAAAGAAAAATCCACAGGTAACCTCAGGAGAAATACAGGCTGCTCTGGAAAAGGACGGTGTGGTTGTTTTGAAGGAGCACAATATGACGATGCTTAAACAAAAATGATCTGCATGGTCAAGTTGCTAGAGAGAAGCCTTACTTTACTGCGCCAATGTCACAAAAAATCCGGGTTACAACACCTTGACACACCTCACAGCCTCTGGCAAACTAATCTGGAGTTACAAGACCAAAATAGAGCTTTATAGTCACAACCATAAGCGCTATATTTAGAAAGGGGTCAACAAGGCATGTAGCGACAAGAATACCACCCCCACTGTGAAGCGTGGTGGTGGCTCACTGATGTTTTGGGGATATGTGTTAGCTTTAAAGGCATGGGGAATCATGTGAAAAATTTAGGCAAGATGAATGCAGCATGTTATCAGGAAATACTGGCAGATAATGTGCATTCTTCTGCACAAAAGCTGCACATGGGAAGCTCTTGGGTTTTCCAGCACGACAATGACCTTAACCACAAGGCCAAGTTGACCCTCCAGTGGTTACAACAGAAAAAGGTGAAGGTTCTGGAATGGCCATTACAGTCTCCTGACCTTAATATCTTTGAGCGACTCTGAGGAGATCTCAAATGTGCGGTTCATGCAAGACGACTAAAGACTTGCATGACCTGGAGGATTATTGCCTAGATGAATGGGCTACTCAACCACCTACAAGAATTCAGGGCTTCATAGACAACTATTACAAAAACTGCACACTGTCTCATTGATGCTAAAGGGGACAATAAACAGTATTAAGAACTAAGGGTATGCAGACTTTTGAACAGGGATAATTTTATTTGTTTACTTGTTGTCATGTTTTGTTTTATGATTGTGCCATTCTGTTATGGCCTGCATTTGAAAATTAATCCCATAAGAAATAAAAGAAATGTGTTTTGACTGCTCACTCGTGTTTTTTTTGAGCTTTTGAGCACAACTATATTTATAAGCCCCCTGTCCCCAACACTTCCTTTTTTTTCTATTTTCGTGGCCTTTAAGCCCCACTGTACTGCTTCCCTGAACTTCTGGGTTGCAGAGAGTAGGGGGTGTGACAGGCTGATGAAGCTGATGGGAGGAGGGAGCAGGGGCTTAGCTAACCAATAGGTGTCTCCCTAGCACCCAGTTAGCTAAAGGAGACATCCACAACCATGTAAGCTTTGTAAAAGGAGATTTAAAAAAAAGATTAGGTTTGTATTTTACGATTTAAAAAAAAAAGTTGAACATTACTTTAACTGCATGCACGTTAAGTGTTATGTGGACTGAGGTGCTAGCTCAGAGATGACTCAATCTTACTGGATTTGCAAAAATATCCTGTAGATTCTGAGGCCTCCATACAGCAACACTGATATGCCATAATCCCCCGGGTCCTACTGCTGTTTATATTGGCATGCATTCATTATTTACTGCTTTGCAAACACATGCTGTTTTGTAGCAATACTTCCTAACAGCATATTTTTTCTATAGCTATTTTTAAAGTGCTACATTTAAAATAAAATAAACAAGGAAAAGAGAAAGAATGGTTGAATGAGAACACAGGCTTCCTATGTTATACTAAATATAGTGTAAAATAAAGGATTGAAAATCTGGAAGGGTTAATTTTTTTTTTGGGGGGGGGGGTCTGGAGTTTGGACAAAGAGCATTAGTGTAATGCCATGTGTAAAAAGTAAATATATATAACAGGAAAATCTATGCTACACAATAGTATATGCTTTTGGCTAAAGCAGGGGTCTCCAAACTTTCTAAACAAAGGGCCAGTTTGCTGGCTTTCATACTTTAGCGGAGC